TTGTTCCTGCATTATTTTCCTGAATTCTTCCAATTTTTTGTCTGTATTTTCCATGAATTTGTCTATTTTTTCCTCATGTTTGTCAGCTTTTTGCCTCAGCTCTTGAAGAATTCTGAGTATTAGAGATTTGAATTCCCTATCAGGTAGTTCTAGTGCATTTTATTCCACAGGAGAGTCATCTGGTGTTTTATTTTTGATGCCTACTGGAACCATCCTGTCCTGTTTTTGTAAATGTTTTTATATTGTCTGCTGTTTTGGGGGCATTCAGTAGTTATTTTTCTCGTTTATTGATTGTAGATTTGTTTGTTTTGTCCTGTTTGTTTTGTCTACCGCTGGACACTCCGTGAGGCTGCTTTCTCATACCCCCATTTGCTGTTCTCTGATAGGAGTCCAAGATGGTGGATCCGTGCTGCATTAGCTGGTAGGGGACCTCTGCATGAATCTCTCCTCGCTCTCCTTTCTCTGTCAGTTTTCTCACTCCATTTGGTGCTTGGCTGAGTTCTTTATCTCTTCATTTGGTGTTTTAGGTTTCAGGATTGTTGTATCCTCTGTTTGGCTTAGTTTTTCGGATCTTTGCTGTGGAGCGATGGCATGGTGCTTCTGCCTAGAGTGCCATTTTGCGGAACTCCTAGGTAGGATTCTTAATAGAATATATATAGATACACACACACACACACACACACACACACACACAGAGAGAGAGAGAGAGAGAGAGAGAGAAAGGAATTGGAATAGAAAGAATTAGGACTATAGAAGGAAAAATGAGAAGGAAGAGAAAAGAAAAGTGAAGTAAAGAGAAGTTTAAGAGACTAAATGCTGGAGACAGAAGTTCCTGAGTTTAAATTCCAAGCCCTCCACTCACTGCAAGTGCCTCAGTTATTGCCCCCATGTATCCATGTATAAGCTGGAGATAAGAATTGAGGGTAATGACAATTGATGTTTGTAATGTGTTCATAACATGTCTGACATATAATAAGCAATGTATAATTATGTGTTAACAAAAAACAATAAATAGAAAAACATAGCAGAATGTGTCGCCCATAGCAAAAATAATTATTATATTGTAAGATTTCTTAAAAACAGACTGTTGAGTTTAAGTGATGACTCTATTCTAATAGTTTCATGTAGATTAATAGTTTCCCCAACTTGAGGAGTAAGAATTACCTTCTTTAGTATCTCTCGAAGAAACTGGATAAATTAAAGCTGATCACATAGTGAATACTCAATAAAAACAAAAACACATTGCCATCAAGTAGATTCTGACTCATAGCGACCCTATAGGACAGAGCATAATTGCCCATAGGGTTTCCAAGGCTGTAGTCTTTATGGAAGCAGACTGCTACATGTTTCTCCCACAGAAGCTTGTGGGTTGGAACCACTGACCTTTTGGTTAGCTGCCATGTGCTTAACCCCTGTGCCACCAGGGCTCCTTGAATCCTGAATACCTTCTCTTTTATTGATTGCTAAAAAATAGTAACTTGTGAGTTAAGCATGTAACTTTAATTTCAAAACTGTAAGTACCATGTATGTCTCAACAGTTATTTCCTGCTTACAAACAAACGTGTACATGAATTCTGATCTATAGTCTGTACATTTTCTGATATTCCTCAAGCTATCAGCTTTCCTTCTGTTGTACACAGGGCATCTATGAGTCAGAACTGACTCGACAGCACCTAACAGCAACAACAACATCAGCTTTATACTTAACATCTTGTCTTCCCTGATTGCATTAATGTATTAATTTTTATATCTGTTTTTCCACTTCACAATACATCACACAGTAGACAAGTAAGTAACAATAGCTTCTCTTACTTATATGGGGAAATTGAAGCACCAAG